GCTTTTTGCCATCTTTGATGGTTCACCAGCTATGGACTCTGGATAGGGATAGCTTGGCAAATTCAAGACTGGATTATTGCAATGCCCTCTATTTATGTTGCTCTAGAAGCTGGAGCTAGTATAGAATGAAGCTGCTTGGCTGTTGCTGGGAGCCAGGCCTTCTCAGCATGAAACTCCTTCTCTGAAGGATCTGCACTGATTGCCTGTTTGCTGCTGGGCCAAGTTTGATGTTCTAGTAATTGTGCAGAAACCCTATACAACTTGGGACCAGAACACTGGAGGGACTGCCTTCTCCCTTAGCAACCTACCCAGTCACTGAGGTCATTGGATGATACAGTCCTGGTGGTCTCACATGGACGTGTGACCTGACTGAAGTTTGCAAGGAGAAGATTCTCTTGCGTGGCAGTTCCATTCTTCTGTAACCTCCTGCCTTGGTAGGTCAGGCAGTCACCAGCACTGTGCTGTTTGGCAGTTGCTGAAGATATTTTTGTTCTAGGAATCCATTTTTACTGACTAGCCATGCATTTAATGCTAGCCTGTTTTTAATATATCACTTATATTCTTTTAACCATTTTAGCTTTTTATTGTTCGCCACTCTGGAATATGGAATATGGAGAGGTGTACAAATATTATAAATAAAAGAATAAACAAATTTTAAAAGTGCAGTCTGGTATGAACTCAAGTTGGAATGTGCTTCAGAAACCTCAGAGAACTTTGGTGAACTCAGGTTTTCCTGATTCATGCATCTGTGACCAAGGGCCATGCATTGGCACAGACATGTACTCATTCATCAACTCAGACATGCACCCAAGCCTTCCTTTCACACATGCATATTCATCCCCCTTCATCCACATGCACACACGCATCCTTTTCAACTCCCCACTCCACTCCATTAAAAAGGGATTTCTCTTGCTAACACTAGCAAGGGAAATAGTCTCTTTATTCCTAAATAGGGATATATGAGAATTCCATTTTGAAGATGAAATTTGGCTGAATGTTGCTACTTTGGTCCTGGTGGATTTCATTCCATTTCCCCCTGCTGGTATCAACACATATGCAAATAGAATCCTGGGGCTTTTGGGGAGGGGTCCTCTTAATTTGCAAAACTAGGGGCATTTAAAAAAAATGGGTGTCTTCAATTCCATTCTCCATTTTGGCTAGTCAATTCCATCCTCCGCTTTGGCACACACTACCTTCTTAGCATGGCAAGTACTGGACTTGAGGATGAAATTGACAAATCTAGAATGAGCTAAAGAAAATAGTGTGTGGAAAAGATGAAACTGGCAAGGATATTTGTAATTGGAATGCAATAGCATAGAAGTGGACAAGCAGACCTGCAGAAGACCATGCCCCATTTAAATATTTAAAATATTTTTAAATTATCATGAACATATTTACCCTAATTTAAGACTCAGAAATAATATTGACAGTAATTAAAATAAAAGAAATCCTCTTCGCACAAATCATGTCTATTCATTTAGTGTGTGCAGAACATACAGATATTTCCAAAATTGGGAATAAAACCTTCTGTCGTTTATTGGACAGAGGGGGATTACAGCAAAATCCCATCAGGTTTAGAAGGAATGGAATTCAGCATCTCAAATCCATGTTTTTGATCTCCCAGAAAGGAAAAAGAAGGGCTTTCCTCACTAGTGTTAGTGCTGGCAAGGAAATGCAAGGCTTCCCCTGGCTAGTGCTGATAAGGGAAACTGTTCCCTCAAGAAGCATCAGCAGTGGGAAGGGGTTTCCCTTGCTAGTGTTAGGGCTGCCATAGGAAATCTTAGGCTTCAGCCTGTGTGGAGTAGTGGTTAAGATTGCAGGGCCAGGACTCAGGCAAACTGGGTTCTTGTCTCCACTCAGCCATGGACTGCATTGGGTGACTTTGGGCCAGCCCCAAACACTCAGCCCAACCTACCTCACAGGGTTGTTATTCTGAGGATAAGACTGAGAGGAGGAGGAGGACAGGACAATTATGTAAGCTGCCCTGAGTTCCTTGAAGGAAATAAAGGTAAGATCCAAATACTATTGCTGCTCCTAATAATAATTCTGGTGCAGATAAGGAAAATTCTGGGTGGGGTTTTCATGGCTGCACTGGAAGCCTTGTTGTAAGCAGTCCTAATACAGCTTGTGTTGAAATATTCATCCATTCATCCATCCATCTTTCAGAACAATTTCAGAACTAATTCTGACAGGCTTTGATATATATATATAGATAGATAGATAGATAGATAGATAGATAGAGGATTTAGCCTGGGTGTTATGAAAAGCTGAAAATCAAGCAGAAAATCAACGAAATATAAAATAAAATGAATGCCATTTTTGTTCCATCTTGGAGGGAATAACATGCTAAATTTAGCCTTTTTATGTGAATATTTAACTAGTCCCCAACTTGAATATTTTTGAGCCATTTGTGATCTGTAGGAGTGAGAGGAAGGAAATGTACCTTTTCCCTACATTTAATTTGCAGCTCCATATTTTCCCTGTACTTTGTCACCCATGAGAACTGGCTGTTCTACTGAAGAGCTCGGATAAAGGGAACTGGTGGGGAATGGTAACCAACAAAGAAGATAGTTAAATTGACAACTTGAGAAGTAAATTACAGCTTCTGTCACAGTGAAGCATTACTCTGAATCTACTCATCGGTGTCCACTCTCCCTTTTAGCTGGGAAAAAACCTTGCATCGATAATTCTGACAATTTTGTATTTGCTCCAAAAATAGCAAGTTGAAATATTTCCATGAAATCAGATGCTTTACTACACTTTTTTTCACAATGGAATAGAACAGCCAGGCCCCCCATTTTCTTATAAGAGTTGGTGTTAACCATGGCTTGCTTTTCTCTATAATTTCTAAGGACACCCCTCCCACTGCTTTCCTGTGGGTTTCCCGCTGTATTTCAATGTATTTTATCATGTTGTAAGCCGCCCCGAGGTTTCGGCAAGGGGCGGCATAGAAATGTTATAATAATAATAATAATAATAATAATAATAATAGACACCTGGTAACTGTTTGCATTAATGCTAGTGTCATGGGAACAAAACATTTCATATTGTCTAATGATGCTATGCTCACAGTTACAGCTATACTTTCTAGATTGCTAGTTTTTATTTGAAAATACAATTTCAAAATTTCTCCTGAAAAACCCTTGGGTATATATTTACCTTAAGAAAAGAGAAAGAGCTAATTTGGCACCATTGTTTTCTTTTGCTGCTGTTGCCTTCTCCATCCAGAGAGTCTTTATCCCAGGGACTGAATGGTAAGAAGAATGATCTCACAGTGCTGTGATGAATTAAGAGGAAGAGCCTTAAGCATTACATGATTTCAAATGCCCTAATTTGCCCAAACTGAAGGATTTTTAGTGGCACTGCAAGAAGCCTGTTTTACTCTCAAACCAGCATTGAAGATCATACCTTGGGGGGAAAAGGTCATGCTTATGCATGATAGTTAGCTTTCTTGTAATTTTAAGCACGCTGAATAGGTTTTGTAACTTCTTCTGCATCTGGAGGTTGCTGCTTCTGTCTTTCATTGCCTCTAGGCGAGCTGTTGGATCTCTAGCATAACTTCTGGGTCCCCCCCCCCCCTTGCAGATGTAAAGAAAGGGTGTTCTTCCATTGTGATGTGCCTCATTACGTCTTGACCCTGACCCTTAGTGCCGAAAAATGGGAGGCTGATCTAAGAAAGAGGAGGAGGGTGATGACAGGATGATGTGACAAGAAGGCAAAACTGTCAGAACAATCCAGCTGCTGGTGGAAAGAGCTTCTTGGTTGTGACTGGCAAAGCCAACTTTTGCGTGCCAGCTATGGGAAGTGAAACCATCTCTCTGAAGCAGGGGCTCAGAAATCGGGAGGGACTTAGAAGGCAGAACAAATACACCTACTGTGCTCTGATTACCAGCTCCCTGAGCAGTGAAAAAGTACCTTTTGATGAATATTATGCTACCCAGCTAGTCACCTTACACATACCTGTTTCGTGCACAAGTCAGAGTAAGCAGGGAGTGTTCAGAGGAAGATGCCTTTCAATTTGGCAGGTAATGAAAAGCTACAACAGTGCATATGCAATGCTTTTCTACAAGGTGCAAGCCTTCCTGTGTAATAGAGATGCTCAAACTCCTGACTGAACTTCCCAGTCTGGCTAGACTACCCTTTGATGGGATCAAGGGAGGCAGAAATCTGGTCTGTTCCCACAGCCCTTCTCCACTAATTTTCCCATTTGCAGGTGTTTCCTGCTCTGTTAACAGTTCTGTTGATTGGTGCCTGGGATACATATTATCATGATATATATTCCTGTTTCAGGAAGATGTAGATATGTGTGTGTATGTGTTTTTTACTCTCCCCTGGGAATTCTTCTCTTGAGAACCTTGGAGGGCACTCAGAGCTCACAGGACTGGCTCTTCTCATTGCTATTTCCATTGATCTTCCTACCTCTAAGTCCCAGATGAGATAGAGAGAGTGAATGCTAGCAACTGCACAGCCTCTCCTTTGTTATAGGTTAGTTACACTTAAGAAGTCTTAATCCATTTTTGCTTGGCTCAGGTTAGCATGCTGTTGCAGAACATAAGAATCTCTGTTTTAATAATTCACAGCCTGCTTCTAAGCACTTCATCAGCACAAGCCAGTGGAGCTTTCAGCAGCAGAGTGCTGTAATGATTTGAGAATTCATTCACTTTATAGAGAAGCATCCTGATCAAAATGTCACCCTGCTCCCACCTCATGTGGCAGCCAGTCGACATGCATGAAGTATCATTTATCCCATGGGACCCTCTGAATCAGCTGAAGTCTCTTATTATGGTCGTGATAATTGGCAGGAATCTTAACATTACGTGTCCTGAGTGAAGAGGTTATCCTCTAGAACAGGGGTGGCCAGACTTGCTCAACAGAAGAGCCACTACAGTCATAGAATCATAGAATAGTAGAGTTGGAAGGGCCATGAAGGCCAGTCTAACCGTCCTGCTGTTGCAGGACACCAGTTTACACCACCCCACTCAGATGGCTGTCCAGTTTCTTTTTGAATGTCTCTAATGTGGGAGAGCCCACCACCTCTCTAGGCAGATTGTCCCACTGTTGTATTGCTCTGACAGTGAGGAAGCTTTTCCTGATGTCCAGTCTGAATCTGGGTTGTTGCAATTTGAACTGATTACTCCGTGTCCTACAATGTATCTGAGTCCAGCCAGATTTTTGAGAGCTTCAAGCTGGCCCCATGAGCAGTGGTGGTGAGTGGCAAGCAGAGAGTGGTTAGCTGCAAAATAAACTCAAAGAGCTGCAAGTGGCTCCTGAACTTCGGTTTGGCCTTTTGTGGTCTAAAACAAAGGAGGTCCAAAACTTCTAGAGGTCTCTTCTGCTCACCCATAATACAGGTGGGCATAAGTTGATGTGTGGTATCAAAATAAGGTTCCAATCACCACTTCTCTAAGATCAAGGGCTGCCGCATTTGCTTGAGCTTTACTTTCCTCTGGAAGGAGGTTACTGGAGCCTTGCTGGTGTTTTGTGATATTTGCATTTATTTACAAATATACGCAGGTTGAGCACAGATGGAGGCATTGCTGGAATAGCTCCAATAGAACCCAGAATCCACTGTTCCCACATCAGGTCTCCAGAGAGCCAAACAGAATGCAGAAATGCTGTAAGAATACTGTGTCATTAGTTCAGCTTATTGTAGGCCAGATCAGATCTATTTTACAGGTTTGTCTAATTTTAAGGAGGCCTCGTGGTGCTCCTTATTATGCTCTCAGACTGGTGCCAGCGAACACATTATGCACTCAGACTGGTGCCAGTGTACACTAAACACATTCTACTCTTCATGACTTTTTGGACATCTTTCCCCCTCACTACGTATGCATATGCAGACAAATACTTTGGGTGCTCAAGAACACATGTTGAGTTTGGGTATGTGAAGGAATCTCTGCTCAACTAAGATTTCTGCATAACCTTATCACAGGGCACACAAAGATGGCATCCTCTTCTTCATTCCATGTACAGCTGATTGGATGGGATGGGCGCACCCACCACACCTGTGGTGGAAGGCTCAATCATTGCCCCCAGGAAAGTTGTGCAGGACTCATAGCTCTGTCTTCCAGCAGAGGGGAAATACTGGGTCATTCAAACTGCCCTCAGACCCCTGCCACCTAAGACAATCACCTCACTCTGCCTAATGGCAGCCACACACCATGTAAAGAAGTGGTTTCTTTTGCCACTTGTGAAAAATCACCATTCTGCTGTCGAGATGGACCTAGATTCTAGAGATCTATTCACTTTCTGCACAAGTGTATAAATTCTATACACCTCTAACATATCCCTCCTTACCATTTTTCTAAGCTAAAAAGCTCCAACTGGTATAGCTTGATCCATACTTCACAAGACTGATCAGTCTTGTACAAGCACATTCATTTAGGAGTAAGCGCTACATAAACATGACTAGCAGGGGCAGGTGATCGTTTGGGGCCTGTTTCACACTTTGAAATTTGAGCTTCAAGCTTCAAATGTGAGAAGCTTGCCTCTGTACACCATAAAATGTCTATCAAGGGTACTATGGTTAGTTATAAAGTACAAGTAACCTTTCCAAAAGAGTTGTATACAAAGCAGAGATGAAGTTTCTTCTCTTTAGTCCCACCCCCGCAAAAAAGAAAGTATCTCTCCCCTCCCCCCCTTCCTTTCTTTTTCTTGGGAGCTTGCAGAAGAAAGTGTCTGCCTGTACCTGCCCATCATCTTCATTTCCTAAGAATGTCTCTGAGCTCCACATGTGGCCAGAGATATTCACAGGAAATGAGGGGGGGGGCAGAGGTTGGAGGCCCCCATTTTGTTGTGAAGCGATCCCAGCTGCTGAGTAGAAAGGCACCACGCAAGGTGTCTGGCACTCTAGACAGATAACTTTGTTAGAGTTTTGCTGAAAAAGATAAGTATTGTGGTACCTTAAACACTTTTATTATGGTATAAATTTTCAAGGACTGGAGGCCACTTTTGTTAGAGGAGGCTTATATAGAGGGTGGCATTTTCCAAGGTGCTCTTGTTCCAAGCTATGTAGGGATTTAAAATCCAATTCTAGCATTTGAATTTGTCCCAGAAGCTTATTTGCAGCCAAAGCTGACAGTCATCTGGTGGGATTGAAGGGTCTTCTTGCAGTGCCACCTCTTTCCCCAAGCTATGGCTGTTCTCTCCAGCTGTGCTTTTTCATTCTATTCTAGGGAAATATTAACATCCTTTAATATCTTCAACAAACTTACCAGGGGATTTGTTTTATTAATTTGAAGGCTGGGTACAGCAAATAGGTTAGAGCCTCAGTCAATTCATAGACTTAACTGGATCTTTCTTTACTTAATCATCTCCTCCTTCTCTTCCCTAACTTGGTTTGTTTCAGTTCCTTGCTTTGCTCTTTGCACACCCCTTTCTCTCCAGAGAGGTGTAGAATGCAGCAAAGGTGCATGGCACTCTCTGCCGTGGGAACTAAGGGGAGAGTATCTTTATCTCTTGCTCCTTGGCATTCCCAGTGGTGGCTTTTGCAGCAGCTGTGTTGCACCATGTAAGACAATGTGTCACTTAAAAATCTCTGACTGCATTCTGCAGTGACAGCGGTTACAGTTTAGATGGTATCACATGGGATTCCTATCACGTATTCCTTGTGTTTACACTTTAGGTACTGGATGTGCAGAGCCATTCAGGAATTAAGGATTTCAAGGAATGCAGTTATGCATTGAAGAAAGTTGCACTGCCTGCCTCTTTTAGAGTGGAAAAGGGAGCCCATGCAGTGTAGTGGTTAGAATATTGTGCTGGGACTTGGAAAGCTCAAGTTCTAGTTGCTTCTCAGCCATAAAGCTTGCTGGATGATTTTAAGCCGGTCACTGATTCCCAGTCAAACCTACCTCTCAGGGTTGTTGTGAGCATATCATGGAGAAGAGGTGGACCATGTAAACTTTCCTTGGAAAAGGCAAAAAAACCAGGTGGGGGTAAATGAAGATGGACTAACAAGGAAAGTGACTTTCCTGCCATTTTTGCAGCAGCTGGTTTCACAGGTTTGACAGTTGATCTTCTGAAGCTGGGCTTGAGTACATCTCCTAAAACCATTTTCCTCTTCAAGCAGCAGTGAGACACTCAATGTATATGATGCAGAAGGAAGGGTATAGCCCTTTTTCCTTCACCATGACTCCAATCCTGCTTTGATGGTAGTTTGATAAATTAATTGCAGGCATCAAGCTATTTGTTTCTTGAATGCTGTGCTCAGCAAGGTTAGTTTATTTTTTCATTCTCCATTCACATTCTGACTGAAAATTCCTCTTCACACTTGCTATTGAGCTTTAGGGGAAAAGTTTCAATGAGCACCATTTCCTAAAACTTTAAGCCACCTAAGAGAGGGAATGCAATTTTCAACCAGAAAATAACTGGGTCTGAAAAGATAAGTGTTCTTCCTTGCCATATGTTGCATTCATGTAAGAATCACTCTCGCCCCATCAACCTGTAATTAAATTTTGGAAAAAAGCCCAAGCTACAGGATGTTTTCCTAATATGGACTACAACTTTCAGCCTCCAGCAGCCACCTGCTGGCTAGGGGATGCTGGGAGTCATAGGGCAACACACCCAGAGGTGGGGAAGCCTGCACTACATTGTAATCATAATTTGGCTGTGGGTAAATTCCAAACTAATTTTGGTGAGACAAAAAAGCAAAGGTGGGGTTCTACTAAGTAAGGTTGTGGCCAGCTGACAACAGGATGCCTGGTTCTGCTATTGGTCTTCCTTTTGATTCATAACCTTTCTTTTCTCCCTTTTCATTACTCTTCTTATTTGAAAAATTCCCACTGAAATGCACAGAGGAGAAGGTAATCTTAGACCCACCTAGGTAGGTGTAGCTAAAAGGATCAAATGGCCCTGTAATTGGAGAGTAAGTCTTTCAGTACTACTAGGTCAACAGCTCCCTTTCATTCTAGGATGTCCTCATCTGACGGCTGTTCAGAAACCTGGACGGTGGGATTCTCTGTCTGTTTACCAGGAGACAGGTGTCCACAGAACCCTAGAGAAGGTGAAGCTTAAATATTCTGTGGAAATAACATGCTGGCTTCCTGTAGAGGTTTTTTGGGGCCCTTTGTTTTGTGCCAAGAGGGATCGTGTTGAGTGTCTGCTTGCCCAATTCCAGATACTGCCAGCTGAACAAAGGCTCGCGCTCTCTCTCTCTCTCTCTCTCTCTCTCTCCCTCTCCCTCTCCCTCTCCCTCTCCCTCTCCCTCTCCCTCCCCCCCACTCCCTCCAGGACTGTTAGTACAGCACCTTTCATCAGTGACAAAACTCCCATGAAATATTTAAAATAAAATGCCCTAGACATTTCGTACAACAGGCCTGCCTGTGATGAGAGATGCACTATCATCTGTTCCTTTTCATCTCTCTTGATCTTCCCTGTTTCCTTTTCCGTCCAGCCCAGGTGGCTAACGTTGCACCTGACAAAGGCAGTCACCCTGCTGATCCCTATTTCAGTGCAGCTATTAGCATCAAAGAGCAAAAGCAAACAACCTTGGGTGCAGCGCAGCTCTACAAAGCCGCTGTAAATGGGCCCTTGTGCCTAGGACAAAAGAAACCCTGCCACTCTCTTTTGTCAAGAGACTTGCGTGTGGTTTGTGAAGAGCTTTGAGCTAGGGAAGGGGATAACCTCTGCCTTGATGAAATGCACATGACTGCTGGTCTCTCTGAAGGGATATGGAATCCGTACTTCATTCTCTAGCATTCATTTTTTTCTCATAAGGGAAGAAAGGAGTGTGGTATGAGGAGCTTCCTAGAACATAAGCAAGTTTGGGAGATAAGGTGTTAAGTTGGTTCAGAAGAAGAGATTTTGGAGTTGAATGGTTTGTGTGTGTTTGCATGTGTGGTGGAAGAAGGTGCTTAACCCTTTTGCCTGTCTACATTGTAAACTATGGGTCATGGAAACACTCTTTGTATTTCTTTTTCTCTGTGTGTGGCTATTTGGAGCAATAGTTATAGAGCTCCCATGGCAGTGGTTAAAACCCCTCACCTGCTGTTACTGTGCTCCAAATTGGCCCATCTCAGGTTTTCTTCTTAAGGGGTGGTCCCCACACCCCTGCATCTGAACCCTGGCAAAGGTACCTATCTGTAAAGTAGAGCTGGCTGCTAAGGACCAGGGCAGACTTTTTGTAAAGATGTGGCAGGCATCTACCTGTTTGGTTCTTTAAACAAAGAAAACCACTGTAGCGTAAATGCAGACTAGGACTTTTGTGTGTGTGTGTGTGTGTGTGTGTGTGTGTGTGTGTTTTCCCCTTCCCCACAACTTGACTGCTAGCTGAGCAGATCAGAGAAAGCTTCCCCACCTGGTCTAGGGAATCTGGGATACAAGCAGCCAAGCTCCCAGGAAGCGAATGACCAGAGTGAGTGAGCAGGGAGAGCAAACAGGACTTGGGGTGGGGATGGGGGTCCAACTCTAATATTCTATGATTACAGTTTATAGTTAAAATGTATTAACCAGAGTGTAACAGTTAGATACCTGGAAAAGTTGACTTATTAGGTTCACGAATTTAGTGGAAATATAATATATTGGAAAGATCATTGGATCAGACTCTCATGCTGGTATTCACAATAGCCGGCTTTAAAAACTGGTGCATTAGGAGGCATTGCTGTTTTCAAACTTTCTCACCTTCCCTGGTGTTGCTGCTTCTTTGTATCTTTAATTAACTACAGTTTAATGAGTGTTCCACTGAAAAGTTCATCAGTCACAGATCATAAACTGTTTACTTATTTAACATTGTTTTAAATTTTGTTTTTTTTTTTTCAAGTTTCCCCTTCCTGCAAGTGCTAGTAGAATGAAAGTGATCAGATATTAGTGCTCTTAGTTTTTAATTGATGATTCATATTGGCATCCGTCTGTTGAAGCTGGTGGTGTTCTGGTTATGAAAATGGCTATATAATTTACCTGAATCATCTATTGTTTCAGAAATTGTCTTGAATTAATTTTCCAATCGTAGAATATATTGATTATCTTAAACTATTTCCCAGAAAGTAGCTTGGCATTGTTCTTACCACTGGAGCTGAAAGAATCTGGGCATGGGGAAAGTTTGCCAATCCAAAGATGGGCAACATTGGTAGCCTCTAAGCAAGCCAATTCAATGTAACCATTTCCAACCCTGTAAGTTACCACTTGCCCTCCAGATCTTAGTGCTCCTGAATATTTATGCTGAACTCTCAAAGTATAACGGCATTGTACCTTGTAAAAGTACAATGCTGATATACCATAGACTGATGAAACTCACTGTTTCCTGAAATACAGGAAAGCATTCCAGTGTTATAACTTTCCATATTGCCAGTTGTCTGCAGCATGTTGGAACATTCGTACAAAGGGTCAGTTTCCAGGTCTCAGCCTAGGGGCTTTTGTCTTTCTCTCCCCCCCCCCTTTCTTTTGTTTCTTTCTGATATAATTGTTGCTGTCAAGATGTGGACCTTTGTGTGACTGCTATTTCAATTGATCTGATGACCTGTTATAAAATGGCTGTAATCCAAAGGACCACACATGTGCAGGGTTTCCATTGCCAGCAGTGGGAAAGCCTTGGGTGTGTGCCCATTGCTTCTTTCATGAGTCCCACAGAGAAATCCAAACCATGTTCTCTAAATAGCAGTTCTCATAGGATTGCTCATGATGTGAATAATCAACTCTGGAGTTTAAAAATGATGCGATATCAGGGGAATGTTGCATCATTAAGCAAATGGGGTAACAGTGAACGAAATATTGGGTAGGGCACCCAGGAACTTGCCATCTATTTCCCCAGCATTGCTTTTAGTAGTGCTGCTGAAAGAAGCTACATTGCTAATGCTCTTTCATAGGTGCTTCTCCTCTACAGACTTAGGCATGTATGAATCAGCAAAACACAGGTTTTCCATTGAATTCCATTTCAAAGCTTGTTCCAGCTGAAATACATACCAGATTGTGAGATTTGTTTTTAACTTTTCACCCTGAATAAGACAATCTGTGTTTATTTTTGGGCACATTTTTCCAAATGTGCATCAACTGTGTGTCTTTGAAATGTGCACTTTCTTCTCCCATTGAGTAAGTAGATTTGTGGACATTTTCAAAACCATGCATTTATTGTTATTTTTTTACATTAGAAGTTAAAAATTATACAAATTTCATCTGTAGATTGCCCTGTGTTTGATCTGGAAGGTACAAACTGGTTAAATCTGGATCAATACCAAACTGTAATGAAATCCCCATATATCTTTAGTACTGACTCATTTGTGGAAAGTAAGTTCTATGGAAATAAGGGAACAGGGGAATGATTCCAGAGAACAGGAAGAAGTAGGAGGGAGCTTCCTGTCCAAAAATATATTCTGGTACCCCACACATCTGACCAGAAAAACATAGCAATTTGCAACAGTGAATTCACTGCTACTTGCAGCAGGTCATTGTCTTGAGCAGGGGTCCTCAAACTTGTGGCGTTGGGCACGTGTGGCGGTGGCTCGCTCGCTCAGAGATCTCCCAGCGAGTCCAAAACCATCTCTGAGCAAGCAAGCCACCACCTCCAGCCCGTGCTCCAAGGCGGGGGATGGCGGCGTGGGCCGGATGAATGGCCACGGTGAGCTGGATCTGTCCCGTGGGCCATAGTTTGAGGACCCATGGTCTTGAGTATGAGTTAAAGATGTAAAGTCTGCAGGCAGTTTTCAATAAATGTATAAAAATCCTTCCTCTCTCCCTCAACTATTTGCACTCCAGAAAGGTGAAACCTGTTCAGAAGGGTGCAGCTTTCTAGCCAGGTGAGGCTCTCCCCAAAAGACCATCTCCATTGCCAAGTTAATGAGAAGAATTCATATATAGTTGGTGCTAAGTCTTGCAAGCTTTTGGCACCAGCTAAAGACCTGCTTGTTCAGACAGACTATTGACTGACTTCGTTTTGCTGCATTTTGTTAACTGTTATATATTTGTGTTACTGTTATATATTGTTGTATTATGTATTTGTGTCAGTGTCACATGCTTTTTTCTATTTTTAATTGGTTGTACCTCACTTATTTTATGAAAGTTGGATAATAAATTTCATAAACAAATCCTAGTTCCCCTAACTAGAGGAGTCTTTGCTTTCCACAATGAAATATAGCAGAACCACTAGGCAAGCGATAGCTGCAAATCTGCAGGTGGTGCCTTTTTGGTGAAATGTAAAGACATTCTTTAGGATAGAACATGTTTTTGGTGGTAGAAACACAGTTTGAAATCATGCAGCACTGGAATGGTCCCATAGAAATACAGAACGTGAAACTTGGGTAACCCTAAGAACTGTTGTGTAGTACAGCATTTCTTCATTGCTCAGGTGAATGGTGAGCAAAAGCACGGAGACGTCATGTGATGATACGAAAATATGTTTCTGGATAACACTCCTCTGACATTTGAATTGCATTGGGATTTTTTATAATGTGTAGAGGAAAGCAACCTGGTACCTCCAGATGTTTTGGACTACAACTCCCATAAGCCTCAGCCAGCCATAATCAGGAATTATGGAAGTTATGGTTAGGAGATCACCAGATTGGTGCATATACTTATGTATGTTTTAATTCTTGTTGCATCTGCTCGGTTTTGCCATTATTCTTTATTTATATTTATTTTATAAAGCTTAAATGGAATGTAGAGTACCCAGGCCTCAGCCAGATATGGAGGGTGCCATGCACTTTGCGTTCTGTGCCACTGTGGCAGCTTGCAAGAGGAAGAGTTGTTTACCTGCTCTTTGCTGCTCCTCAGCCACATCCCTGCAGATCTCTGGAAGATGCTGTAGCAGCTACTAACTCAACAGGGATCAAGTGCCTGATAGGGTCACACAGGGTTCCATCTGCTTCTAAGGCTGATATTTTAGCCTGCCTCCTAGATCTGACCAATCATGGTGTTAGGTAGGGCTAAACTGCCTTTGGGCTGGCCTTTGTGGCTTACCTGCTTGCACCTTCCTGCAGGGGAAAGTCACATCAAGAAATGGTATTGAAGGTTGAGGTTGATTTCTTTCTCTCAGCATTATGCCCCAGTTAAATGTTCTTTCACCCCATGGCTGCACAAACACTTACAAAACCATGGGAAACGTGATCATGGATCTGCCCCATTTTATCCTGTGCCCTTTGACCACCAGCCCTGACACAGGGATCCTGGATATGCCATTCCATGATCCTCTGGATCCCTTTGTAGGCAGTTGAGAGAATTGCTGCAGGAATCAGCCAGTTGGTGACTAGTTATGCAGAAAGTGAGCTTCATCTCACACAAATACCTGTTGTGGGTAATTCAGTGGTATTTATGGATGGCATAGTTGCCTTGTGTGTGAATGTGTATTGTGAGTCTTATATAACACTATGGGACACCCCACTGGCCTTCTAAAAGTGCCAGCATTCAGTGAAAATGTTTGAAAAAAACTGGTACTTGCAATGAGCATGTAAGACTGGATTAGCAAAACTGAACAGTTGAATACAATTTCCCAGTTATTATCTTCCTGGTTCTTCAGAAGTAGCTTGGACACTCAAGATATAATGGGAAAGAATGCAATGCACAGTTGGAAAACTTGCTGCCCATCAGATATTTTGGCCTACAACTCCTTTCTGCCCTAGCCAGGATAGCCGGTGCTGAGGCATGAAGGGAAGTGTTGTCCAAATAATAATAGTCTAGTGCCACAAGTGCGCATTCCTTAGTGTAGAGGTAAAGGTGGATGGTGTAAAGGGATTGGTTTTATACATATTGCATCTTTCTGTATTCTATGAGATTAGTTTCAATGTTGCCTTAGAAGGCAAACTTTTAAGTCCATTTTCCATAGCTTCCTCTTTTGGGGGAAATCATTTCCTGTTCAAGTACTAAACTAGTTTGCCTTGCTTGACTTCTGAGACTGGAGACAACCCTGACATATGGACTTCTACAAAAGCTGACTATCTTGGGGTGACTAAATTAACAGTAACTCTGATACAGTTTCCATATTGTCTGCAATGAAGGATGGTCACGGGGATGCGTGCGCGGGCAAGAGGAATGAAAAGGGCTAGACCTTTTTGCCAGTCCTTTGGGGGTCATAGTTTGGAGCCCATCAACTGGTCATAAATTCATGCAAACCTTTTCAGAATGGGGAAACAACACCTTTCTTTCCCTAATGAAACTTGAAATGGATTTGAATTTATGTGAGTGAAACTATCTTGCTGTGGGGGTGTCTGTTGTTGCTTTTTCCTTGTCTGAATCTGTGTGAGAAGTGAAATGACACAAAATATTCTAACCAATATTCTTGCAGGAGCTGGCCTGCGCTGGATTGATCTGATTCCAGAACCTCTCTCTTCCTCCAGACAGACACAGCAAATCTGATTTATTTCTACATGCATAAAGGATTGGGGAACCAAACCCTTTCCTCTTGCATGGGTAGCTTGGTGGCTGTAGATGGGTGGCTTTCAAAGCAATTTCTAGTTTTGCATGAAATTGATTTCCATGCAAAGGATGTCAGCTTCTTGTGTACATGCATGTGTGTGTCTAATACTTTTTCTCTTTCTCTCTCTTTCTCTTCCTCTACCCTTGCCCCCTTTCTTGCTACCTATGAAAATGCTTCATCAGATGCCAGCCGTGTTCCAGGTGAGTGTTGTTATTTGCTAAAGTGGAAAGCTGTAAGTGAAAATGAGTAAGAGTACCAACTGTGAAGGTGTAGAACAAATATTGTAAGCCGCCCCGAGGCTTCGGCGAATGGGGCGGCATAAAAATGTTTTAATAAATAAATAAATAAATAAAATATTTCAGTAAAAGTATTGGATTATAAGCATGGTACATATGGGTGCAGTTTAGCAGGGCACCTTTTTCCTGGGAGATACATGATAAAATGACAAAAATGGTCTGTGTAGTAAATGAGATATCAATGAAGAATAAAAAGGATGCACTTGAGTTGGTCATTTCTTTAGCTTGGAACCCATTTCAGGTAAACTGCTGAGCTGCTGTGCTGGTTGATCGAAAGGTTGAAATTCAAATCCGCACACAGGGTGAGCTCCCGTGCTTTGTCCGAGCTCCTGCCAACCTTGCAGTTTGAAAGCATGCAAATGCAAGTAGATAAAAAGGTACCACTTCAGTGGGAAGGTAACAGCATTCCGTGCACCTCGGTGTTTAGTCATACTGGCCACATGACCACGGAGACTGTCTGCAGCAAATGCTGGCTGCCTTGGCTAGGAAACGGAGATGAACACTGCCCCCTAGAGTCAGACATGGCTGGACTTTAATGCCAGGGGGAAACCTTTACTTTTTACCTTTAATGTTTGAAAAAGTAAGACTTGGAGCTTTTTCAGCAGCACAGCGTGAACCTGCCATCTTGAAAGAAATGCTATTTCAGGCGAAATGTTCAAAAGCTTGATGGAGAGAAAATTGAAATAAGAAGTAGAATGTGTTCCCATTCCCAAGTTGAAAAAAAACTAATCAGTATCCAGAAATATTCCTTAAGGAATATCATTTAAGGATTTTGTCGTATTTATGAGTGGATTAAGCTGAATATGCAGTTTATTTTTTTCCTCCAATTTTTTGGATTTCTTCACGCCAAAGAAATATTCATCCATAGAGAACACTGATGTCCCAGTTTCTTTGTTGTCCCTCTACTCTCTCCATCATGGTACTGTGTGATTTTCAGTCCTGGGGGTGAAGGTTGGACATAATGAATGGATAGATATTGTTCAAGATTTTTCTTTCAAGTCCATGGTCAGATCGTAGGCTTATGGCTTGGCTCTTGTGTCTTTCTTATGTCAGAGGAAGCTTTGCCATGGAAAAGGTACTGGGACATTTGATGAAGTTTCCTGGGATATCTTTGCTGACAATATGGTATAGAGTGGGTTGAGCACATTTAGATTTGGGTAGTACATACTTAGTTACAAATTACTTAGTTCAGGAAGTAATAATTCAGCATGCACTTGGTGGTAGAGCCAAGCATAGTAGAAAGGTTCTTCTTCCTCTCCTGTGAAGGCCTTCACAAGGGGTATTTGGTAGCTGGAAGGAGCCAGAGCAATAGCCAGGCACAAGGGAGAATGCCCAATGACTACTTCCTCCTCTTCTCCTCCTCTGGATGCTCCATGCATAGGGAGGAAATGACATGCAAGAGTGTGTAATGGCTAGTTTAACCCCAACAAGGGTTACTTACTGTCTTTCTTCATTGCGTGCACAGCATCTTTTATGCCCCAGAATAGAATTGAATTACCCCTATGCATTCAAGTCAGGTAGTAACTGAAAAAGTAAGAGCCAGTAGTGAATACATTCAGTATGTACTTTTTCATATTTGGAACAATCCTACTGTTAAACTGGTGTATCTACACCTAAAAAGTATAATGCACCCCCCACCGCATCAATCGAGTCACAAGCATAGTTTTATTTTCCATTTTCTGCTCTTTTCAGCCCCTCTGGTTGTTGCTCCCTCCTCTGCTCACCAGGTGCACTTTATGACCATGCAATCCTCATGAAACAAGTAGGCGTAATAGGGATGGAAGAGCATATTGTACTGTATGCTCCTTTGGTGTGATTCTGAAAGAGAGGTTCTGTCAGCCTTGGCATCCATTTCATCAGTGCCTTTGTCTAATGTATGTTGCATCTGATGAGGTAGACATAAAAGCTTATGTCGCTATCAATTTGTTTGTCTTTAACATGATACAGGATTCTTGGTTGATTTTACTTACCATTCATTCATTTATTGATTTGATTTGATTTATATCCCATCCATCCTCACAAAGAGCCCAGCACAACTGACAATCCTATAATACACTGCATAGTGCATAAATAACATTACAATCATGACTCTAAAATCACAAGCCCATAATAAAATACAATAAAACCATCACCATAATCAATCAATAAAAACCCAACATTAATAGAACATTTGCCTATAACCCCAAAGGCCTGCAAAAATATTTAAGTCATTACCTGGGGCCTAAAATAAGAAAAAGATGGTGGTAGCTATAGACTAGCACCTTAAGGCAATTTGGAAATTTTATGTATCAGTGCAATCAGGAAGGATGCAAAAGAGGACTTATTGATAAATTGATTAACAAATGAATGTTTAGTAATGCAAGACTGCTGTGAAGAGCCTCACATTAGCTATAGCAAAGCACATGCCCCCAGAGTTTCTTTGTTGACAAGAGCTGCCAAAGACATAGCAAAATGGCATTGGATTGAAATTAACTTCTTATTTTTATGCCAGCCATCTCAATTTTGTTCTCTCATTTCTGCTATTCAGAAACCAAGCAGGAAGAATGTTTGTCTGTGATTCCTTCCTCCGCTTTAAAAATGGTCTGTCTGCAGAGAGACAAAGCAGAGTTCATGGTTTGCATATTATGATAAACAATGCCTGGAATGTCCCCAGTTGGTTTAGACACCTCTGCTTATAGGAGTATCCATGCAGGAGCAATTGTACATTGTGTACCATCTCACCAGCTCATTTGTGATGTGTGAATCAGTGCAAGCTCTATTCGGGCATTCTGAACCTGGATGGGTCAGACAGGAGAAGAAGGATTACCAGCCCTTGCCCTTTCCTCCATCTAGTCTGTCACTTGTCATCTAAAGACTTCTCCAGGGAGGAAGGCTTAGAGACCCCAAGAGAGGACAGAACCCAGACCCCGCAGGACCTGTGCTGCAGGGTGGGCCTGAGCTTATGGAGGAATTCACTGAGGTCTCAGCTCATCAGGAAGAGAGGCCTTATAAGGAAGAGTTGCAGTGCCCCGCAGGTCCCAAGAGTGACAAGGCCAGAGGAGGGAGATGCAGCTCAGAAAACTTTGATAAACTCCCAAGTTAGGTCTCCTTGAGCTGAAAGTGGATCCTCAGGAGCAGAGGACCCTCTTCTCTGCAATCAGAGTGAATGACTGCAACTGGAGCTTGGATGGAATGTGGGCAGCTCCAGATAAAAAGCTCAGGAGAAGCTTACCAAAGCTGATGGAAAAATGTCTGTGTGGGCCCTCTTTGATGCTTGGTCTATAAATGACCTTGGCCTGGATTTGTCTACCCTTCTGCATAACCCCTTTTGTCTACTGCTTGGCTGTGCTATGTGCTGCTTTGGATTAGACTTAGACTGCTGTGGATCCTGGCTCAGCTTGCCACTCTGTTGTATCCTCATCTGCTGAGTCCCCGGAACAAGACCAGTCTAAAGACTTGGTGGGAGGAAAGGACACCGCTCTCAACTTGTGGAGGGTGACTGTCTGAGGAAAACCCATCATGTGAACTAGAATATTATATTCTAGCATCCTTGCTCATGTGGTTTTCTTCATTAATACAGGAGGGTGGCCTCTTCCATTGCCAAATTTCACGAGGTGAGGGTGACAAATGTGTGCAGGACAGTGGCAGGGCTCCTCATGTGTTTGCTTTGGTCAAGTTGAGAATGCTTGGATCAGGTTAAATTTCCTCTGCTTGGTTTTACAAAAAGCAGCATGAGGAATGGAGATTGAGAGTGGAGAATCAATGAAGATAAGCAATATACTTGCTTTTTCTCCCTTACAGAATTTAAAAAGTACATATACTCCTGCGTAGGACATGTCCTCTGTTGCGTCGGCTACAGAGTCTCTCGTCACTTTAGCAATTAAGTAGAGTTAGAAAGGAAAAACTGCTTCCTTTTGAAAACTATGGGACCCTCAAAGAAATTGAACCTAGTATATGTGTGTAGGGAATTAACCTTTCCCACTGCCAATTTTCAGATTCTCTTGACTACTGGATTTTGACTATAGTGAAATGTCAAGGTGAATTTGGAGGCCACTGCATGCCTTTGAGAGAAGCAAGAAGTTTAGATAAAACTACTGACATTTCCTTATGTGTGATTCTATGCATTCTTATCTGGGAGTTTAAGGAACTATGAATGCAAATTGTTAATCCAACTTTACTGTGGGTGTCTTCTGCTTCTCAAGAGTAGTGGATAGTTAAAGCCTGGTGAAGAAGCTCTCCACTCAGTGAGTAAAGTTGATAAGTACCAGGACCCAATTAGTTGATAAAAGCTGGGACTAGAGTACATAGGGCTATGCAGAAAGGAACTTCTGAAATGTTTAAAGTGCATGGGATATAATGCACAACTGCCTTTTGCTTTTAGAAGGGTAAGATTTCAACAGTTTTGGATTTCAGTTCTGTTTTTATCAAATACATTATGTTTAGCATAACCAACGTAATCAACATAACCAGTGCGTAAGTGATGAACCCAGTCCAGTAACATCTAGAGGACCACACAAACTCAAGAAGTCCAGTTTTGGGCTAGAGTTACCATGACATCTTGCAACACTTCTGACAAATTTGGAGCAGGAATCATCTCAGGATTTTTAAGAGAAGGAGAAGCTTTGATATGATCAACTGTGTTCCTTGGGCAAGTGGTTTCCAGCAAGTGACTCTTGTATAGGAGAGACATTTCACTTCAGTTTCCTAGCTCTTAATTCTGTCTGCCGGTTCAGTTCTGCCCAGTTGTGTACTAGTTCGTAAGAGCTCTTAGCACTGGGTCCAGATAGTATGACTTTGTTTAGCTTTGCTATATTTAATATTTGTATTTTTGCAAGCCAACAACATAATTGGTGGCTTGCATTCCCTCATTTTACTCTATTATTAGTCAATAATGAAACTCAGCAAGGCTGGAGAGTTTTTTTTTT